CTTGGAGACATTGTGACTTTATCTGATTATTTTGTCTGAAGCTCTTGAGGTTTACCTCAAGACATTGGGTTGTTTGTTTGTTTTTATGTGCAGGTTTTTTGTGATTATACCCTTTGTTTGTAATTTGGAATTCACCCGTATACAGCCGTTACTCTGCCCAATTTTTGTGAAGACTTAATACACTTGAAGTTTGGTTCTCTTAAGAGGTCTAGTATTTTTTTTGCTTGATTGGTTTCAAATCCAAGGAATGGGAATTCTATCTTGGCTCATAATGTCAAGTTTTGGCTTCTTGTTGGTTAGATGGTTCTTATCCCTAGCCTTTTACCTTATGCTTTAGGATAGTCCCTTCTTCTCCCACCATCTTCTTTAATTTCAAAAATCTTCTTCCTCCTTTTGAAAAGTCTTCTTGTTTTTTAAACTTGAACCACTTTTATAATAAACTTGGACTTATGTCCATGCATTTTCAAAACATTTTCATAAATAAATTCCAATCAACTTAATAATACCTTGACATTTTTTGTGAGAAGACTAAAACTCAATCAATCTCATTTCAAACCATTTTTCCACTTTAGCTTTTTATCTTTAAACTTTTCTTAAAAGATTAAACTCTTGTCAATCCTTTTAGTGATGCAAACAACTATACTTCTACAATATATAGTGAAGAGAGATATTTTCCACTTGGGTGTTGAGTGAGGCATTGTTGATTTTGAAATCGAAGCCATATCCTTCACTTTGAGATGATGCAAATTCTCCTTTCTCGGGATTGTGAGTAGTAGGTGTGTTTTCAATAGGGACAATGACGATGATGTTTTATCTTATAAAATTAACCAACACATTTGTGTTTTAAATTTTTAAAAAGAGGAACTATATGTACCCTGATCCCCTATGGCACGAAAGATGGTACGTAGGCACTAAAGGTCCGCAACCGCGGCGGTGCAAAAATTAAAAATTAAATATATTTCTTTTCTCACCTCCACAATCCATTTTTATACAACATTTTTTATAGTCAAAATATACATATTTAACAAAGAGGCTCTTGCGGAGTACCGTAGATGTTTAGGGTGATAATACGTTCCCTTTGCATAACCAACCTCCTTACCTTGAATCTTTCCCCCTCTTTTTGGGTTATTCGCTCTTTTCTCATTCCTTTGGAAACAATAAAGCACGGTGGCGATTTTATTTTAATTTGTATAAAGTCTAGTTAATCCCATGGCACAGTCTTGAACATTTCTATCACTACAGAAAAATGGCGACTTCACTGGGGACAAATTGACCTCTTGCTGGTCCATCCCTAAGTGGGTTAAGCCTATCTTTATTTATGTTTGTATATGTGACATTACTATTCTTTTTTGTGTTATATGTTGTATATGTTTGTCTAGATTTTCCTAGTTTTCAGGGTGCTTGGTGATTACTCATAAGTCCTATACCCGGACTTGGGAAAACTTTAAGATAGGACGGGCGGTATAGTCATGTTAACTTTGAGGGAGTAATCCCAAAAAAGGAGGCATGAGATCCCCCACTTAGTGTAGGCCCCTTTGACTATAGTATCGTTTACCGAGTAATCGGGAAGACGTACTACTTTCGACCTGCGAGCCTGCTGAAACTGAGGACCGTAGAATACCAAACCCATCTTGGCCTTTTAGGTGTAGTGCAGAAGCTATGAAAGAGTAATCCTAAAATAGTTATCACATGATACTACGCTCGGACGAGTCTTTCTTGAGAATATTACTAATTATCGAGTTAATCAGGAAGTTGGTAATATCCGAAGGAAGGATGTAGACTCTGTGAACCTCTAGAACCTTATTCGGCGGGTAATAACTCTTAGACCAAAACCTTATGGGTAGTACCTTCTACCTAATTCTTGTGACGTTGAACCTATGAACCCTATATGTGTGATCTTGTGTGTGATTGCTGCATCATGCATCCATGAACTCATAAGCATCTTTTGAAGAAACCATAATTCAAGGGATTTAAAGGTTGACTATTTGTGAATATCTCAGGTACTTTTAACAATGGATTCTTGAAAGAGAAAGACCAGAAAATACAGTTTCATGGATCCCAAGATAGATGAGTTGATCAGTTTAATTCCTGAGATCGAGTGTTCTGCAGACTTTTGGAAGAAGTATGGGTCCACTATTCCTCTCATGAAGATAATGATGAAGGAGGGTATTCTCTCGACCGTGGTCCAGTTCTATGATCCGATGTATCATTGCTTTACTTTTCCCGACTATCAGTTGATGCCTACACTGGAGGAGTATTCTTATCTATTGGATTTACCTGTTACCGACCGTGTTCCTTTTACTGGTTTGGAGGGTGAGCCAAAACCACATGAGATTGCGGCTTTGATTCATCTAGGGAAGTCTGAGGTGGAAGCCCATATGACTACTAAAGGAGGGATTAGAGGATTACCAACTCAGTTCTTATTGGAGAAAGCTCGTTACTTTTCCAGAATGAAGAGTATAGTTGCTTTTGAGGCCATCTTTGCTCTACTTGCTTACGGGTTGTTCTTATTGTTGTACCCCAAATTTTGGCCCTAAGATCCCTCATCACACTTTGTACATTTCGCATATAGAATTGGTCTCATGGTTATAAGATCGAAGCACCTTGGCCTTAGGGTTTCTCTCTTTGAATGGAGGTTGTCGTCTTGCTCAAAATTGATTCAATTGGCGTTCTCAAATTTCTTGGTATCAGATTAGGGTTTTGGATCTCAAGCAGCATAGACGTCTCTGCTATCAGATTTCTTCAAGATACAACTTTTTCTTCATCAGAGTTCTTTCAAGGAATAAAGGCATTAGGGCCTAACTCAGCCAGAGAATCAAGATTTCTCTTCATTTTGTTTAAGCTTGGTAATGATTCTTCTATGGAGGTTTATTGAGTTAAAGTCTCACTTCAAGGCTACATTGAGCGCTACTCCTCCCTTACTGAAAGATTGCTTTGAGTTTTGTCAAGTTTAGATATGTACCGTTGGGTAAGTTATGGGTTAGGAACTCATCAAACTCATTTTATCAAATGGAAGTTGGTCGCTTCAAATGCAAAATGACTCGAATATGTGAATTTAAGTGAGATTCATGTAAATAACTCCATTAGGTCATATAGCACACCGTTCATTCGTTAATCAATAAAATGTGGCATGTGATCAAAGATTTCGAAGGATTAGGGTTTGTTTAAGGCTCTGAGGCTCTTATCTTTATCCAAGAGATTCAAGCTGCTTCTTCAACAAGCAGGGAAAGATGCTAGGGTTTTCTTCTTTTATGCTTCAACTAGGGATCATTGGATTGGGGCTCGATCTTGTGGTTATCTTGAGTTTCTCCTTCTTCAACATTGTGGACTTGTTTTGAATGATACGGTTTTTTGGTTCTTATCGAACACTTGTTACTTCGGTTGCAAGTTAACTTGGGCTATTGAGAGAAATGACTAGTGAATTGGATTCATTGAAACTTCTAATCGTGCTCAAAGTTAATATTGATTCAAGGTCTTATTAAGTTCATGACTTTGTTACCGGTTGATTCAAGATAGGCTCAGGAGCTTATTTAGCTCATTTTATCAAATAAAATATGTTTGTTTCAAATGAAAGATGACTAGAATTTATGGATCCAATTGAGATTAAGGTTCATTGACCAAGCACGCCATTTGAAGTCAACTGAGTTTCGACTTGTCATGAACGCTTGAGTTACATTAAGGATCGATTTAAGATAAGCATGGAATAAATGTTTTTAATGTGATTCAAGGATAAGTCATTTAACTTTCTTGAAGAACAAGATATATGCGAGAGATGTTACAGGACTTGTGGATAATTTTCCTAGTTTTCTTGTACTCATAGTATAAGTGATTCATCAATTGGCTTTGCTTAGAATTTGGATTATATTTGAGATACAAAAATAAGATTTTGAAATTGAGGTTAAAGAAGGAATCCCGTTCCCTTTCAATAAAACTTAGCATGTCAGCATTGAAACTTTTAATGTTGTCCCTTTAGCGAGATCGATGAGTCTTGAAAGGCATTACAGCGACAAATTCAGAGAAATGGTTTTCAACTAGTGAAATTTAAGGATCGCCTGCTGTGAAGCCAATAATATTAATGCCGCGGAGAACAGATAGCCTTGAAATAATGATCCTATCTCTGGTCTATCTGAATCGTCATCAGAACATGATTATACTGAATCAGAATATAATCACGGTGTGGTTGATGTAGCAATTGCTGAAAGATTGTTTGTAACAGGTGTTCTTGATGAATTAAAGGTTTGCTTCAGTTATAGTTACTAGTCTGATCAGAGCTTAATAAAGGTTCTTTCTAATGAAGAGAAAAGTTTGTTTGAATTTCGAGCAATAGGCGGCCAGGTGGAGGTTTTTATCCGTGAGAGTGACATTTTCATTGTACTACCTTGAAGTCTCTGGAAATAGAAGATTTAGTTTGCTGTAATAAACAATCGCAGCCTTGTTTTTTGGAAAGATCATTTATTAGAAATGCTGACGAGATTCCATTATTATATAATACCACAAGAGAAAATGTTGATAGTAGTGGAATAATTCCTCTGGAAACTGATGATAAGTTTTATGAGGCACCCGAAACTTTGGCAGAAAGTGCTAATTATTCTTCTTTGGAACTCCCAAAGTTCAGTCGCATTATTGGACTTCTACCTAGTGATACTTCTTCTACTAGTACTAAGGAACTTAGTGACACATTTGAGAGTTTTGTTAAAGCAAAAATTCTCATCTATGACCAGAACACTACTCTGTATAATAACACAGATAAGCAGGTTAAAGTGACTCTTGCTACCCTGACATTTTTTTTTCGTAGACCAATAATCCTAGCCATTATGGAATTTATCAATTCTATTAATATTGAGGATAGAAACTTTGCAACTTCTAGTGAGAGCTCTTCAGCCATTATTAAAAATGATGTATCAAGAGATATGAATGATTTAAATGCCACTACAGTTGAGGAACATGTTGTGAAAGGCTTGCTTGGAAAAGGGAAATCCAGAGTTATGTTCAATCTGACATTAAAAATGGCTCAGGACCAAATCCTTTTGATGATGGAAAATGAAACCAAGCTTGCTTGTCTGTCTCAAGAGAGTTTGCTGATGGATATCAAGGTCTTTCCTTCCTCCTTTAGCATTAAAGCAGCCTTGAGAATTCATCATGATTTGTAATACACCTCTCTTGTCATCTTCATTTTTCCTTCTCACGGTCCTCAAACTGCCACTAAAACATCCAATCCCTATAGTTCTTTCAGTCTTTTGATCCCATCTTAAAACAACCGCTTTACCGATCCTGCAAAATGACATCACAAACAGTTAATTCAACAACCAATTTCCTAACAGAATTCTAACAGAATTTCAACTAACAGAATTTCCTAACTAATTCTGATCATAACTAGTTGTAACTGTAACAAAACCCCTTTTAAAACCATGACTAACTATCCAAAGTAACAAACTTTTAACAATTTCAACTAACTTGTAACCAACTCCCATTCTCCTAAACAAATTCACTAACAGATTGGGAAAGAAAACTCAGATTAACAGAATACAAAAGGGGGAGGATTCATTCACACAAAAATCAGATAAAATTAGAAAACTCACCTTTCAATTATCCTTTGAATTCTCTCTCCATAACTGTTTTTTCTTCTAAAAATTATTTAATCTTCAACGTGCTGAACCTTCAAGCTTCTTCATCAATTCTCCTTTCTCTGCAACTGCGTCCACAACCTTGACTGTGTTCTGCAATTGAGCCTTTATCTTCATATTTAAAACACCTTCTCTCTTCTCAATCTTCTCTTTCGACATCCATTGCATTTCTCTGTTTTTGAATCGATGATAATTGCGCCATCACCATTTGAACCCAGAGCAAAGTTAAAGAATGCAAGAAATGTAGAAGGAGAATATCAGAATCAAAAGTTTCATCACAATTGTACCTGGTTAAGGTCTCAGCTCTAGCTTTCTGCATTATCATCAGGATACAAGGGTTGTTGGAGTTACTCTGGTCGGTAAGACGTTATGCTCATAATTTTACAATTTATGTTTTTTTTGTTTGAATCTGTGAAAGTAATGGCAGTACCGTGAACGCTTGAATTGGAGCGAGTTCTTGAATAGAATCTCCAAGGAGGAAGGTGGATTCGAGCTTGAAACCTCTGCATCGAAGTTGAATGACGAGGCTGATGGAAGACGGTATCGCGATGATGTTAAAGTGATGAGGTAGCCACACTGAAGACGATTGTAGAATCACGAAGGAAATTGGAGCGAAAACAGGTTGAAACGGAGGGATGGGGAACCGAATAATCTGCGACGGCTTAGTGCGAAGTTAAATCGGAGAAGAAGAGGTTTGTTTTGATCAGCTCCTCTATGAATGAGCTTAAGCCGTGATGACTGGAGCCAAAGGAGGAGATGACGGTGGAAATGGAAACAAATATCGGTTGAAGTGGCGGCGGGAGAACGATTGGTATGGAGGAGGGTTGGGTAGTTAGGAGGTAACGATGTTAAGACGAGGGAGAAGAGAGCGCCACGATGCTATTGATGAGGAGTAGGCAGGAGCAGAGGACGGTGATGCACCGGAAACTCGCAAGAGAAATGTGAGATTTAAAATCCATTTTCAGTGTCATTTGGAGAAGGAGAAGAGTTCTTATTCCGTTCATATCAAAAGCCACAAACTTCTGAACCCTATCCTTTTTCCAAACGCCTTCATTGTACCTTTTATTATAGTTTTCATTTTGCTTAAATTTTTTTATGATTATAAATTGATTGCATATGCTGAAAATGTAAACACTGAATCGGGCTTTGTGTGTGGGTAGACCAAACCAGTATTCTTCCTAAGCCCGTTAGCATTTTTTGAAGCCTATTAGACAAACGCAAAAAAACTTATGGACTCAACCTGATGGGCCCTAGCACCTAGACTACTTTAACACCCCCCTGGATTATTGGCTTACACCCCCTGAGATCATTCTATTAATAATTTATCTTAAATAACTTTGTGAATTGTTTAGATTTATTTGAACTTTTTCTTCACATGACAAAAATAATAAAATCAAAAAATTTGTTAGATTTTTTTATTTGATTTTGGGAATTAAATCAGGATTATCCGATTACCTGAGATTTGTAATTCACCTCTGCTTGTTGAGATCTGAGTCTTATGCAGGTTTATTGTGTGATATGCGGATATGCTTGAGATTATGATTGTGATTAATTTTCACATCGACGATGCTTTGATACTTATTCCAAATATTCAAACTCTGACTGTTTGTTTGTTGATGCCAGCTCGCGTGAAGTATCTCGGATTTCTTTACTTTGGTTGCACTTTTTGCGGACGTCATTTTTCGTTTGGTATTACATTGCTTCCAAGTTATATTTCCGCATTTATCGCTTTTCAAGATATCATGAGAAGTAGGAAATAAAGAGCGTGTGCTCGAAGTCGCTGTTTAAAGACCTATAGCAGGCATTCCGCACTTCATTTTTGTTATGTGTTATACTTGTGTTTGCTTTATTTCTTATTGATCGATGAGTCACTTAACTTAGAAATTGAGATCACGACTTCGCTCTCAGTGCATGCTCCCTATAGGATTTTATCGCTTTCCTTTATTTCTTGTTGATCGATGAGTCACTCAATTTAGAAATTGAGATCACGACTTCGCTCTCAGTGCATGTTCCCTATAGGATAGTTTGTTAGACTTTCTTTGGTATGCTAACTTAGATAGGATCCCTCATGGTATGATAACATTAGGTTAGAGATAGGTTAGTCTCCCTTAGGTGTTTTCTTCTCGTTTCTGCGTAATTGCATTTAAAACTAAAACTTCTTTTTCTTGGAAAATGTATAAGAAATTTGAATCATACAAAAATTCTTTTCATGGTAAAAGGATACCAACCAATCCATTTATTTTCGCCATTCGGCTTTTCTCTTCTAAGAGCATGTTATCTCCTTTCCACTACAGGTCATAAGTCTCCAAAGGTCGAGCAGCGGTGGAATGATTGAATGCAACATTGTTCATTTAAAAATACAAACAAACAAAATATATGAGCCGAACTATGGTAGCTCTGATTCCTCAAAAAGGATACGTAGGCATTGGGGTAGGGCCCAAGCGAGTACAACTTTATTTTCCCTACATTCTTCCTCCTTTCTTTGCATGCGTTATCTCTTAGTTTATAACCTTAAGAATTAGATTAAACACACCCTTTGATTAGAATAACGAGAGTGGATCCCATAAAGTACTATGGACGTGTGGGGTGCTAATACCTTCCCCTCGCGTAATCGACTCCCTTACCCAATCTCTCGGTCGCAAGACCTTAATTTCCCCTTTAGGTTTTTCTTCGATGATTTTCATTTCCCTTTCATATGGGATAAATAAATACTCGGTGGCGACTTCATTGATTTTACCGCTACACTTATTTCCTAACGTGGACAAGTTTGTTGACATTAACGCTATCAGGATCTTCATGATTGGAAACCCAGTTCCTACATTGTTGGGTGATGCTTATTACTCTATTCATCTTCAGAATTCTTATCATGGGGGGATGATTATCAGTTGCATGCCTTTGTTGTACCGGTGGTTTATTTCTCATATGCCTCAGTCTGATGCTTTTTGGGATGTCAAGAAGGAACCCCGTTGAGCCCCTAAGATCATGGCACTTACTCACTCGGATATTGATTGGTATCATCGAGCTTACCGGGATGTAGAGATTATTGACAGTTGTGGTAGTTTCCCCAATGTACCTCTTCTTGGTATAAAGGGAGGAATTAACTATAACCTTGTTCTTCCACGGCGATAACTTGGTTATCCGATGAGGGATAAACCAAATAGTATTCATTTGAGTAGTTTCTTTCTGAAGGAAGGAGAAGACCATAGGGAAGCTAAGGAGCAGATTGCAAAGGCCTGTCGTCACATTCATAAGAAGAGTAGGAAGGATTTGGGACGTAGGGGTGTTGTTTCTTTGGAGCCATATCTTCAGTGGGTCTGATCGAGAGCCATTCAGTTAAAGATGTAGTATACCCGGGAGACACCCATGCTTGATCTATTTGTGAATACCACTCCTCCCTTATTAGACGATCTAGAAGAGCTAAAACTTGCTTTGGTTAGGATGCAACAGGAAAGGGATGCTTGGAAGAACAAGTTCCAAACTTTAGAGAGTTCCTACAGAACAAGCCTGAAAGAGAAGGACGACTTGATTGAGATCTTTGAGATTCGAGCGGTAGAATCTATGGAGAGGAAAGGGGATTTATTTTCTCCTAAGCCTCAATCAGGTGTTGATCACTCACTTCCTGATTCAGATGATTGGAAGGAGGTTTCCATCAGACATGTGGAAGAAAACCAGAGGTTGAAGGCTCAGAATTCGAGGTTCACGGGGAAGCGCTAGCGTATAGAGTGATCTCCATCAGTTCTTTTTCTCAGTATTTTAGATTTTATTTTCATCTTGTACTTGAGATCATTGAAACTTGTAATCCATTTTGGAGTTATTACAATTAAAAAAATTCAGTATTTCAAAAGCGTTATTACTTAGATGTTTGCAATATGTCTATAAACGTTAAATCCCTTGAAATATTAAATAAAAAAGTAAAAATAATCATGTTCATTACATGTCATGCATGATATTGCACATATTCCTTGCATTTTTTATGCATACCCAGGTGTCTTACCAAGCTTCTTTACTTCGTTCAGCAAGCTGACTCATCACTATAACACTCAGGCTAATTTCAAAAAGAAGATGGACAACTTAGAACAGGAGAATCGTGAGTTGTGCGAGGAAGTTTCTGCTTTGAAGGCCGGCATGGCCAATCTGACTACTCTGATGGAAGCTCTGGTGGCTTCTCAGAATCAGCCACCGAGTGTTCAACCTCAACCAATAAGGGAAACTACCGAAGCTCTGACTGTTCCCGTATCTGCTACTCTGGTTGTTGTTCAGAATCGCATGCCTCAAGGTTATCCATGGGGAATGCTAGAGAATTTTGCACCTGAAGGTTTCAATCTTGGTCCTCAAGATACTCTAGTGGTTCATACTATTGTTACTCCAACACCTCTTGTGGTGCATGTTGCTCCTACTGCACCTCCTTCGATGAATATGGTTCCGTTTGTTAATGATGATGTGTGTCGTCTTTTCCCTCCGCCGAGTGAAGATTTGGGTCTTTATGATAGAATGGATGATTTTCAAAATCAGTTTAACAAGATGTAAAGAGAGATAAAGGCCCTCAGGGGAAAAGAGCTATTTGGGCAGAATGTGAATGAGCTATGCTTGGTCCCAAATGTTAAGATACCTTCTAAGTTCAAGGTCCCAGAATTTGAGAAGTATAAGGGCAACACTTGCCCTCGTACTCACCTGGTGATGTACATGAGGAGAATGTCTACCCATCCTGATGATCAGCGTCTGCTGATTCACTTTTTTCAGGATAGTTTGACTGGTGCTGCGCTGAAGTGGTATATGAGTTTGGACAGCGCCAATGTCCATACTTTTAATGATTTGGGAGAAGCATTCATCAAACAGTACAAGTACAACATTGACATGGCGCCTGATCGTGGCCAACTTAGGTCCATGGTTCAAAAAGACAAGGAATCATTCAAAGAGTATGCGCAGAGATGGCATGAGGTAGCCGCCCAAGTGATTCCTCCCATGGAAGAGAAGGAGATGACTAAGATTTTCTTAAAGACGATGGGTGCTTTCTACTATGACAGGATGGTAGGAAGTGCGCCAAGTGACTTTACTGAGATGGTAGGAATGGGTATCCGCTTAAAAGAGGCTGTAAGAGAAGGACGTTTGATTAAGAGTGAAGGATCCGGAGGTGTAAAGAAGCCATCTTATGGGTTTACCAGTAAGAGAGAAGGAGATGCAAATGCTGTTATACAAGAGAGGAGGGTAAACACTCCTAGAAGGAATTATCAGCGTCATCAGCAAGTCGCCTCAGTTACTCCTGTTATGAATGTCGCTCCAACTACTGTTGCTTATCAAAGACCTTCCCAACAGGGGAATCAAGGGTATAATCAGAGAAGAGAGAGTTATGAACCTATTCCCATGAGCTATACATAGCTACTACCAGCTTTGATTCGGAAGAAATTGGTCCAGACATGACCACCTCTCGCCGTACCATCACCATTGCCTTGGTATTATAAGGCAGACCAAACGTGTACTTTTCATCAAGGAGCACCAAGGCATAATGTTGAGAATTGTTATCCTTTGAAGACTGAGGTACAGAAGTTGGTAAAGTTTGTTGTTCTATCTTTCAAAGACGTGGGACCTAATGTGAAAGATAACCCTCTACCCAAGCACGGGGGAGTAAATGTTGTAAATATGGTGGCCGATTATCTAGGCGACTTCTGTATTTTTGACATTAATCTAGTTAGAGGAGATTTGGTGAAAATGCATGCATACCTCTGAATTTAGCTACTATACGCATGACCATTTTGGTTGTGCTATTTGCAGTACAAACATACAGGGTTGCGAGAAGATAAAGGCTGATTTATAGGAGATGATGGATGAGGGCCTAATCCACATAATCAGGCCTAGGGCAGAGTATGAAGAGGAAGTGAAAAAGGTTTCTGGATGTCCTGGTGAATTTAGAATTTTTGATGTGGAGTATATGAATGAGGATCTCGTGCAGTTGCATGCTACCTTCAACCATACG